GGGGGGGGGGGGGGTGGGGGCGGTCGACAAGCAGCACGCGGCACAAGAGAGAACGCTCCACTTTAAGTAGGAACACCCGGCTTCGGCGCTTGGACCCCGCCTCTCGCTCGCGTTTTGGCCCCTTGTGCATGGTGAGGGGTCCCCCCGAAGAGATGACAATCATTGGAGGCGTTCGTTGCAACGTTGATCGTCGATGCGCACGGCAAGCTAGAACGCGAAACTAAAGCCCAGGCTCGCCTCACAATCCCATCAACGATCAGATTCCTCCCCCCCCCACCCGGCACTTCCTCGAGGCGGCGCAGATAAAAGCAGCGAAAATCATCCTAGGATGCTCCAAGCGCACAAGTAATGCAGCCGTCAGGGCAGAATTGGGGATCCAATCCCTACGGTCGGGAAGAGACGCGAGGAAGCTGACATGGCAGTATCGCATGTGCGGGATGGGAGAGGAGAGGTTGTCGAGAATGCATGGGAGGCAAAGTGGGCAAACAAAAAGAGAGGTAGACAACCCACGGAATGGGTCAAGGTTGTAGAGGACGTATGGAAGGGGCTCGACATCGACGAAGATGAAACGCTGGAAACGGAGGGTCTACAGGGGTTCAAGGAGAAGATATCTGTTGCTTGTGCCGAGAGAGAAGAACAGAATCTGAGGAAAGAATCCAAGGATAAGGAGGGTCTAGAAGTGTACGGAATGTTGAAGGAAGGAATAGGGTTCAAGGACTACCTACATGGACCAATGGATGCAGGAACAAAGCTTAAGGTCAAATTCAGGACCGAGGACATAGGCCTTCGAGAACGTCGACGAAGACACAGGACGGTAGACGACGAAGACGACGACTTCAAACGTGATTGCGGCTTCATATGCGACGACCGTGTTCATGTAGTCGCGGAATGTCCGTTGTACAAGAAGGAGAGGGAAGTGTACGTGACTGATCTGGGAAAAATAGATGGAGCGTACAGGGAGATGTTTGAGGCATGGAATAGAGAGGAAAGGACGGTAGCTGTACTGGGGCATAGGAGGTGGGTTGAAAAGGCGGGAAGGGATATCGTTAGGTTAGACAGACTAGGGAAGACATTTTTGAGCCACCTTTGGTAAACGAGAAAGGAACGATTGGCCATCGGCGATCGGTCCTGTGGGAACAATGGACCGTCCTCTCGAGGACGCGTGGTCAATGGTCTAACCGCTAAGGCATGCAAAACATGAGAGTACGCCCCCCACCCCACCCCCACCCGGCACTTCGGAGATGATAAATTCGGTGGTCGGGGGACGTCTGGGTGTTTACTAAGCAGAGCGCCCGACACAAGACTGGGGTACTTGTGCCAGGAGGTGTTAACTTGGATCTAGAATACGAGCCTATGTTGGAGGCGCTATTTAGCGTCGGTGAGCCGGCAAAAGAACTGAAAGGAACCACAACCCCCACCGGACACTCGGATTGGGAAGGCCGAGTATTCCGTATACCTTCCTGAAAAAACACGAAAAACAAGTGGCCACGGTACAGTTGCCGTAGAGATCATGAGGATGGTGAAGAAGCCAGGAGGATGCAAGCAAAAACTGTGGAAGGGAGACAAGTTGGAGCTGCCGCTGTTTGGGATTCCAAGGGACATGACGAGGATAGACTTCAAGAACTATTGTGACAGGGAGGGACTGCACTGCCTAGCAACGGGACAAGTGGGCAGAGGACATGAACACTTCCGGGTGAAACTGACCAAGGGAGACAGCCAAGAGTGCTTGGGGGTTGATATCGAGAAGCTGTCGAACTACGTAAGGAAGTTTGGATGGAGGGTTTGCATCGCGAACATGATAGAAACAGAGAAGGTAAGGAGACAAGAGGCGGGAGCGACGGAGGCGAAGAAGGGAACGAGCGGGGGAGGCGAGCAGGCAAGTCAGAAAAACGCCGAGAAGAAACGGAAGGCGAACGATAGAGTGCGCAAAATCTCCAATAGGGAAAAGCGCAAGCTGAGAGTCGGGTCGTGGAACGTGTGCGGGTTCGCAAGGAGTGAGCGCAAGCGGTTGGAAATAGTGGACCAAGTAGAACAAAGCGATCTAGATGTAGTGGGGATCCAAGAGACGTGGGAATTGAAGGATGCGGACGTGGTAAGCAAACTAGGGAAATACCGGTGGGTAGGGAAGGCAAGAAAGGGCTTAGACCCGCAGAAAAGGGGGGAGGGGTGAGTCGGATTCCTGGTCAAGGAACACTTGTTTGACGTGGTGGAAGTAGTGGTGAAAACGGAGTTCGAGGAAAGCCTATGGCTCAAGATACTTGGGGAGCGGGTTGAGAAGATTTGTTTCTAGGGAACGCATACGTACCATCGTCGTCGAAGAAAGTCGCAAGCAAGGCGCAGGAGAACTTTAGACAAATTGGGGAAGATGTCCAGAGGTTCAGTAGGAAGGGAGAAGTTGTCATGGTGGGCGATTTCAACTCCAGAGTAGGGAAAGCTTCCAGTAGAGGACAGGCGATCGGGCAGCACGGAGAAGACAAAGTGAATGACAACGGAGTGAGGATGCT